TTTAAATACAACACTCCGGAAGTTATCAGGAAGGAATATTAAGAAAGTTTAAGTTTGATTGAACCATTTTATTTTCTTAAATTCATTCGGAATTGTAAGTTTACTAATTAGAAAATTCACTCCATCAAACAGTAATTCTAATTTCAGCTTTTTCTGTCCTTTTTTTGATTCATTATTTACTTAAAATATAATGTAAGTGATAATTAGTTGATAAAAACTGATAAATGATTGGCAGATGAGTGATCAGTTGATAAAAACTAATAAATGATGGAAAAGAATGATAGTTAGTTGATAAATTTGATAAATGATTGGAAGAGTGATAGTTAATTGATAAAAATTAATAAATGACAGTTAGTTGATAAAAATTGATAAATGATTGGAAGATAGATGATTAGTTGATAAAAATTAATAAATGATTGAAAAGATAGTTGATAAATGATTGATAAATGATTGGAAGATGAATGATTAGTTGATAAATTAATAAATGATTGAAAAGAACGATAGTTAATTGATAAATGATTGGAAAATGGATAGATAGTTGATAAAAATTAATAAATGATTGAGAATAATGGCATTTAGTTGATAACGATTGATAAATGATTGGTAGAATGATAGTTAGTTGATAAAAATTGATAAATGATTGGAAGATTGTATGAGAGAACGATCCTCAAAGAGAACGGTCTCGTTATTTTTCGTCACTACCTCCTCATTCTGAGAGTGGATGCCTGCTGCTTTCCTTGGATGTGGTAGCCATTTCTCAGGTTCCCTCTCCGGTGTCGAACCCTTATTCTCCGTTACCCGTTACAACCATGGTAGGCACATAAACTACCATCGAAAGTTGATAAGGCAGACACTTGATAGATACGTCGCCGGTACAAGACCATGCGATCAGCCATAGCTATTCAGAGTCACCAATTAACGGATTAAAATTAATAATCCGATTGGTTTTAATCTAATAGATGCGCTCGTTTAAAATTCGGAGCTTTGGTGCATGTATTAGCTCTAGAATTGCCACAGTTATCCACGTTAGATAATCAACATCAAGTACATTATAGCTGTTATAATGAGCCGTTCGCGGTTTCACCATTATAGGTTTATTTGAACTTAGACATGCATGGCTTAGCCTTTGAGACAAGCATATAACCGCCGACAGAATCAATCAATCGGGGAGATGTATGAAAAAGAATAAGAAAACATACACAAACATTATGCATTATATCTTAAATATATCATACATAAAAATTGTTATACTATGTTTTCTTTCAATATTTCAAAATTTCATTCATATATGATTTTCTTTGTTTATTAGCAAAATTTAAAAGTAATTTTTAAATTTCCATTTTACGCTTAGCTAATGTGCATGCCATTTAATTAAATTTTGACTTATCTAATAAAGTTAATTATATTAGTGAAAATGTTATTTTGATGGATAAAATAAGATTAGTTGATTTGTGTTATTTAATGCTACTATTTTCTGATTGCGGTATTATGATACTGTCAACAATTTAAGATGTGACATGTGCCAGTAGTGGCTTCCGTATTTGAGAAATTTTTTCATTGTATACACGAAAGCGGTAATGATGTGAAACATGATTCTTCTATGATGATAGTTTTCTCTGATTGTAGTTTAGTTAAATTTCATTTTCAACCAATGACTCGAAGTTACAAATCATTTATTTCATTGTATTATGACAGTTAATTAAAAAGATAATATATAAACTTAACCAAAATCATTTCATATGATTTCAGAAAGTTATGGTAAAGTCAAGCATATTTACAATTGTGGCATGTAGCAATTTTTCTATTGTAATACTTTAATGAATATTTTAATTAAAATTCAATAAAAAATTCTATTACGAAAATTTAATTTTAAGAGAAATTAAATTTTCAATTCTCTACAGAATTTTACAAAAACTTAAAATTTTTCAGTAAAATCATACGATAGTAGATGACTTGAAGTAGTTCCCAGAGTTGAAATAAGTTTTGAACTTGGCAGTAGTTTAAAATTTCAGTTTAAAATTTAAGCATTAATTTTATGTAATTTGTTTCAACAAAAATGGATATACACCTAACATACACAAAATGTAAATGCACCTTATGTACAGGAAAGTATACCTGAAGATATATGGCAAATATTAGCCATTCCAATTGATAACCTCCTCATTCCTCAAATCTAAATCGATTGAAGCAACTCTATCACCGTTCAAATGTTCAAAAAAATATTCGCTCAAAATAAACAATTATCTTGTAAATCGAGGAACCATTGTAGTAATATTGTATAACATTCTCAAATCTTTCAAATTAAGGCCTAAATATTGCAGGTTGTATAGAATATTTTGCTCATAACGATGATTCATTGGTGTCGAGGAAATATAAAATCCGATTTGGGAAATTATAATTCTGAATGGGAGATCTCTTGAAATTTTCACTGTAAACATTATTGGGAACAGGTCATATAGTCTGACAGAACTAATATTCTTAAAAATGCAATATAACTTATGACAACTTCATCGCAACTAATCCAGAAAATGCAATCTTCCGCTTATTTGACTCATCATCATCGTTATGAGCAAAATATTCTATACAACCTGCAATATTTACTGGCCTAAATTAAAATGGAGCATAATTATACGCCAAGTGAGAGCCATAATTTGAAAGATGCTATTAAATCTCTCGAGAATATTACATTATATGTCTTGAGAATGTTACACAATATTACTACAATGGTTCCTCGATTTACAAGATAATTGTTTATTTCACGCGAATATGATTTGAACGGTGATAAAGTTGCTTCAATCGATTTAGATTTGAGGAATGAGGAGGTCATCAATTGGAATGGCTAACATTTGCCATATATCTTCAGGTATACTTTCCTGTACATAAGGTGCATTTACACTTTGTGTATGTTAGGTGTATATGTATGAGTCAGTTATGTGTATGTTTATGAATATATAATGTGGTATTAAATTTGTGTTAAAGTTTTCCAAAAAATCATTTGATATAGTTTCGTGTTATGTAATAATGATTGATTTATCATCCTAATATTATTTCAATAATTGATTTGTCATAGTGGTATTATTTCATTATATGAGAATGAATGAATTATTTGTATAAAAAAGGTCAAAATCAACCAAACTTCTCCAGCATTCCTTTAAAGTAGATCATTTTTTGAAATGTGGAGTAAGTGCAAGATCGAGATCGAGTTAATGCTAACTAAAACTTTTTTATTAATAATTCTTTACTTTCTCTACCTGTTGATTATTTCAATAGTTAACTGATGATTAAACATTTATAAGATTTTCAACATTAGGTGAAAATGTTGCTTCAAATGAAGAATCCTTCTGCTACATTCAGGTATCCATTAGAGTTATTCAGTTAGTAGAAAAGTATTGCAAAAAAAAATTGAAATTTGGCTAAAAGTTATGGATAATTAAGTTGTATAAGTTAGGATGAATAACTCTTCGCAATTTTCATTTGTTGTGTTTTAGTAATTCTAACCACGATGGGAAGTCATTCATTATTTGTTAATTTGATATTTGACCCAGCTCTATGCAAAACTTTAGAAATAATAATAGGATTTATTTTACAGGTCTTACGATCAGTGTTCCACAACAATCTACCAAAACGAAGTTCATCTTCAACAAGTTTAATCGATTCTAAATTCTGCAAAAAAAAAGCTCAGAATCTTGAAACACTCTCCAGGTGGTTTATGAGAGCTACAGCCGGAGGTGCTTTTGGAGGTGGTGGTGCTGGTGGTACCAATGGTACATCTGTATTTTCGATATTTTTTCCATAAAAAACAGGTTTCTTAGTACCGTTCGTTTTCTTTCTTGCACTTTAGCATAATGCAAAACACCAGGTACAGGAAACACTTTAATAGCTGATGCAGATTTTCCTAAGTACGCTTACTTCATTGAAAACAAAACCCGAACAGTTGCAAAAAATAGCAATATTTTGAAGATAATTCATTGTGTTATATGCATTGCACCGGGACGGGTCATATATGGTTTGTCATTTTATAGTTTAAATATTAAAATACGCTTTTGTAATTAAGTTTTGTGCAAAAATTCGTCAGCAATTAATTATCATTTTTTATTTTAATTAAGTGCCAAAACTGCTAAATATAGCAATGAATCAAATGCAGCTGCGACAGCATCTCTCTGAATAAATTGGAATGAGGTGGAATTACCTTTTTCGATAACGAGCTTTGATGTGACCGATCAATTCACATCTTGCAGTATATAAACCACAGGTCACATGAATGGTTTCCGGATTTCATCGTATGATAGGGTATGATAATTTCGTCCATAACTGGTGAATACTTATTGAATATTAAATTTTAATTCTCAAAGATAGCTTTAGATGGAAATGCTATGGTGAAAAGTTAGTAACCCATTGTTATAGGATAAAACGATGGATAATAGGTGAGAATTATCACAGAACGAAGGTTAATCGTAGCAAAATCCATTGTTTCAGGGATTTGGAAGTAATAGGAATTATGGAATATATTTACCAAATGGAATTAGTAAAAAGTTTCTAATCACAAGGATTTTTCAAGGATATTTCAGGTACTCTGTTCATTGCTGGTGTTGATTTTGCTCTGTTACCGTTGAATTTTACCACATTCATTGATTTTATTTATGGTGTTTATATCAAATAAAATTTTAAAATTTAAAAAAAAAAAAATCATGTTTGAAGTTGAAGTTAAAATTTTGCTATAATAACTAATAGCGTATGCAAGCAAGAAAACATACTTTATGACATTTTAGTAAATTTTATTTTCTTTTTTTTTATTATTTTAATGAAATGAATAATCACATAATTGCAGTATATTTAATCAATAATTGTGTGATTTTTTTTTTTGATTAATTAAAAGAATTTCAATGTTTGATTTTTTAAATTATCAAAAAATTTACATATTCGTTATCATCGCTGTTATCATTATCACTCAAATGATTTGATTTTTACATATCATTGTTTCTATTATTATCATTATCATATCATTGTTTCCTTTCAGCACATACTATGAAAAATATGCAAATTGCGAATAAATTATTTGAAAGTATATTGACAGATGCGCCTTGCGTTATTTTCGTTGTTGCAATTAAAGGCGCCGCTACAGGTTCAGTAGCTGTCGCATCAACTGAAATTCAAAAACTATAAATTTGTTTCAAATTGATATCAACTTTGTTATGACTATTTTTAGTGTTATCAGTAATACTTTATTCTTATCACTGCATGTCATGAAATATAAGTAAATTGTGAAATATATGTTTAAAAAAAGAAAAGAGAAAAAAATTTTGAAAATATATACCAAAACATTCTTCTTCAGTTGTTGTTGTCAATAAAGTTGTTGCTTCAGGTTTAATCTTTTTCAAATGAACTAAAATGAAAGTATCAGAATTTAAACAGAATAATATCAAGAAATTAATACTTCTAATTTCATTTTTTAATATAAACATCATCTTGGATGAAATATTGATACTTACTGATATGAGAATATTTTGTAAACATTGGTGGTGAAATTCTTGGAACTGAAAATTAATCAATTTTTTAATATTTTTGAGATAAAAATGTTAGAGAAAAGCAATGAAATAATAATAAAGTATAAGTAACAATCAACTAAATAGTAACCTTAGATAAAATATTAAAGTTATTACTTTAACTTATTCTCTTTTATAATAAATCATAATTTTTCATCATCAATATTCTTAGACTATTTAATTCTTTAACTTTAAATTTTCAGAAAAAAAGATAATCCAGCAAAAATTTGAAATTAACGTTCAAATTAACGGATTGAATTATGATAAATGATCAAAACGGTAAGGAATTTGAATATGATACTTAAAAAGGAAATCAAGCAGAATGCATTTATTGCGCCAAAAAATCCTCACATTACATTCTTTTGTTATGAAATAAGTAAATTCAAAAAAGATTAAAAAATTTAGAACCTTAAAATTTCAAATTTACGGATTAGTTAGAATTTTATTTTAAATTATGCTAATCGATCGAAACTGTAAGGAATTTGAATATGATACTTAAAAAGGAAATTAAATAGATTGCACTTTTGCGCCAAAAAATCCTCACATTACATTCTTTTGTTATCAAACAATTTTCAAAAAAGAAATTAAAAAAAAAAAAAAAAGTGAATGTAAATGTGACACATACGACTAATAGCAGCAATATAACCAATAGAAGTATGATTGAATTCAATGATAACTATGGGCACGTATCGACGTTTCCGTCCGTGTTGTGCACGCATACGCCAAAAACAGGGCCTAATGACGTGACGGAATAGGAAAAACGAAAATTACTAAATTCTTCGTTACCATTTTGAACATTTTTCCTTACTGCTTTTTCGCTATAATTTGACAGTATCACCTGAAATTTCAAAAACGATTCACATTTGCGTCTATTTATAGATGCGTACGTGTGTTTACGCTTGTACCCTATCCGTTTGTTCGTGAATAAATGTAAAAGATTTTGTCACCAAATCAGCAAAAGACGAAAAGGTAATAATTTGATAATTTATTACAAAAATGGAAAATACATGTAAACTGGCATGTGAACCTTCTGGTACGATAACCGGAAATATATCATCATTGATCCATTGAGAGTATGCCGGAATCTCATGAATAAATATTCCTTTATTTCCACCATAATTTATTATATTCATGCTTGTTGTCCTCAAATTTCAATTAGTTTATTTAGCTCATTCTAGGAAAAGATTAAAGTTTTAAAATAATAAATTTAAAATTAATATTGCAAAAAAAAAAAGAAATAAAATTGTTAGCTATAATAATAGCTGGATAAATTCAACATTTTAATTTAAGTGGAAAAGTTAAGAAAATAGTTTAATTAAAATAAAAAAATTAAGAGATGAATTTAATTTAAATGAAAAAGTTAGGAGACGAATTTAGTTTAAATGGAAATATTAAGAAGAAATAAATTTAATTACAATGAAAAAATTAAGAAATGAATTTAATTAAAATAGAAATATTAAGAAGAAATGAATTTGATTTAAATAGAAATATTAAAAAGGAATGAATTTAATTTAAATGGAAATATTAAAAAGAAATGAATTTAATTTAAATGAAAAAAAAAAGTGATGAAACGAACGTCGATTTGATGGCAAGCGATTTCTTACAAAATTTTTCATTAACATTAATTGGTTCAGGTGATTTATTCCATTTCATTGGTAATAAATCTACTTTAGCAAATATAATATCAACGTTTTCCATTGGACAATCATTTGATGGCGCTGTCAATAAAATATTATTTGCAAAAGCTTTATTCATTGGATAATATGCTGGAATAGTTAGTCTTGCACATCCTGCAAATTAATTATTTCTTTATTTTTATCATTTACCTGTAAATTGGACAATTTAATTATTTCTTTATTTTCATCATTTACCTGTAAATCGAAAATAGTAAATGAAAATTTATCATCCTGTAACTTTCAAAAATTTAAAATGTTCAATTATCTATCTACAATTGAGAATTTTTTTTTAATTTAAATTTTGATTATTTCTTGAAATTCAAAATTTATAAAGCAATTTTGTTTTAATTTAAACTACAATACTATTTTAACATATATTTCAATGGAGTTTAAAAGAAAAAAAAAAACAAACGATCAACAATCATTGGAGTTGGCATAAAACATCCAAAATCTTTTTTGCTACTCCTTGTATCGAAACATTTCGAATCGAAACAATAACCATCAATCGAGCTATTTCATTATTCCATGCCCTTTGACCTGTCATTTTTGTAGTATTAGTATTACTCAATTGATCACGAATCCATACTGATATCGTTTTTCCACATATGCTGTGAATTGCCATAATGAACCTGCCTATAAAAATAAAATTCATATTTTATTTAATTACACTTATTTACAACTATTCTCGAATTAGCAAAATTAAATTTCATTAAACTTTAAAACAGCAATCTTCTTAAATGCAAAAATGCATTGATAATAATAAAAAGAAAAAATAATAATTAAAATATTTTATTTACAAAATGGAACTATTATTTTATTCCTAATTTTTGAGAATTTGAAACATTTAAATATCATATTAAATTAGTATTATTTACCAATTTTTTCGATTATATTAAATAATTTATTTTATTTTATTAACAAAAATTTTTTTTTTACTAAACAAACTTTCATATTTTGTTTTATGGTTTTTAATTTATTGTTTTGCTTTTCTATTATTGAAATATGATGAGTTTCAGATATTGTTTCATTTGTTCTTTCAAGTGGTAACAAATATATTGTAACAGTGCTACTTCCAGGTAATGAAAATCCATAATAATCACCACCCATTCCCACTGGATAAACTAAAATGCAACACGTAAAAAAACACGGAAACGTGTAAAAACACGTAATATCATAAATCAACTGGAAAAAAAAGAACACAATCAAATTTTTTCAAAATTATTTGATTAAAATTTTTACGAAAAAAAAAATTATTCAACGTTTAGGGTTACATTAAGAAAATCCATAACATCAATTAAATTTAAAAATATGAAAAAATAAACAAACAAAAAAAAAAAATAAACAACCACCTGTCAGAAGGTCAACAACAGATTCGAGATCAAATATATGACAATTAATTGATATTTTATCTGATGAAATGACATATATTCGATTATCTTTCAACATATGTAATCCTTCTTGAACAATGTCATCCATTGCTAAGTTATGAAAATCGTACTGCAATATAATCTTTTTCTTTTTTTCTTTTCTCTCCCTCTCTCTCTATTTCTCCAGCAAAGTTTCATATAAATTTTTATGTAATATATAATTTATTAAAGACATCAAATTTTCTTTTTCTTTTCTTTCTTCAATGAAAGAAAAATAATAATAATAATTTGTTCAATTAAAAATAATTTATTCAATCAAAAATAATTTATTAAAAAAAAAAAAGAAAGAATAAATCAAAGTAACATACTTTATAAAAATTTTTAAAATGAAATTTATCCTTCTTCCTTGCAATAATTTCCGTATTATTACTTTTACTGTTGTATTCAATATTTACCGTAATATTTGCTTCTTTATTCATTCCAACAAGATAACAATAAGTTCGAAATTTATTAATATTATTTGGTGGTAATATGAAAATAAATTTGGTACCCCATGAATCTGCTTCATATAATTCTTTGAAATCTTCATTACATCGTACTGAAAAATTATCATTTAATTATAATTTATAATTTAATTATAGAAATTTAGAAATGAAAAATTTTCACAATGACTTAGTTTAAGTTTAATTTGTTTCATTTCATATTTCATCTCTGAACTTATCGTTATCATCATTATCATAATCATGATTGATAATCATGATTATCATCATCATTACATGTGTTGTTTATTTTTTTCTAATAGTTAATTTATCCTTCCAATTGTTTAGCAACAACAACAACAAAAAAAAAAAAACATTGTATTGTTTTTTTTTCGAGAAGATAATAAAAATTTGAATGAATCAAGTAAAATTGAATAAAATATTGATCAGAAAATAAACTTTTAAAGCAGATCAATTTGAAAATCTAAATGTTTTGAAAGATTAATATGATATAAACAATAAATAACAAATAATTTCAAATAAAACTATAAAATATGAAATACCGGATCAGGTAATGATTTAAATATTTTCTACTTTTCATCTCATTTTTTTTCATGCTAAAATAATTTGAATAGCTATAAAACAATCGTAAACATTTAAACAGATTCATTGCATTTTAATTAGAAGAGACAGTAAGGAATCGTTTTGATTAATTACTTTTTATTTGAAAATTCAAGTTTTAAGATTTTTTATCAAATCTCAATCTAATCTATTAATTAATTCGCAAAGTTTTTAAGATTAATCATACCATAAAATGGATTAGAAATAAATATAAATAAAATTAGTTCAAATATGAAATACTGCCAGCCAACAAATGAAATCATTCGTTTTTCAAATAAAATCACTTATTGTTTGTTAATGAATGCTATAATAAAAGTTGCTGGAAAAAAAAAAAAGAAATAATTCAATGATAATTATTTGTTTGTTTGATACTTTTATACAGTTTTCAAAAATTTGCATAAATTCTCTTTTTTTTTATTCCATTTTTATTTTTTAATTAAAATGTTAACTATGATAAGAAATAATCAATCGGTCGTTTAATCATTTAATATGGACTTAGCAAATTGAGAATTAAATTTATCTTATTTTCAAATAATTTTACAAAGCAAATAATTTTTGTTACATAAATTCTATTAATTGAAATTATATCCGAAGTATGATTCTTCTGTAGTATGAGGCTAATTTTTCCACGTCATGGTGACTCTTCTGTCGAATGCTCACCTGTCGTATTTCATTACTGTTTGCCGTTTCCACCATTGCTCAGTTATTTTGTTTGCTTGTTATTACTATAGCTTTATTATGAATTTTACCATTCCACCTTTAATTAGAACTAAGTATGATTTGGAGTCTGCTAAATTAAATATTTCTGTAGGCTGGCCATCCGTAGAAATCGTCTAAAATAACTAATTCTTGTTCTTCATAACCATTCCACCATTTCTCTGTGTTTGCTGTTTTGATATAATAATTTTTAGATAGGGTTGTTTACGAATGTTGTTTTGCCTATTCCTGGGTCTCCTATTATTAGATATAAATCTGTCGTGCTGCTCCTGTCTTTTGGTTATATATGATTTCAATTGTTAAATTCTTGATAGCGTTTCTCATAACGAATATGTTGTCATATTGGATCATTTCGATTATTGTGATTTCGTTGTCACAGTATTTTTAGCAGTTGTGATTGTTCTTCACGTTGCTTTTCGTTTCCTTGAAGGTGGTTGAGGTCGGGTCCTTATTTCTTCTTATTGTTTTTTGCTGCAGTATTGAAAGTTTTGGTATGGACTTTCTTTGCTTTCCACGTGGCTCACACGCGGTAGCTTACTTATTAAGGTGTTGAAACGTATAGGAGAATTGAATTTGAAGTAGCATTGGAAGTGTTGTCGGTTTGTTGTGGGACAAACCTAAGTTTCTTTTCCGATAATGGCGTATTCTAAACCATTGTCCATACTTTGTAGTAGTTCGGAGTTGAAGTGTTCCATATCGAATATTGTATGTCCATGATTTGGCTCGAATTGTCATTGTAAAATTACTTTTGTTGTGATGAATAATTTTTGTGCTTTAAATATACTGTAATGTTGCTCTGCTTGGTATGGCATGATTGTTATTTTCCATGTGGCTAGTATATTTAATGTAATATGATTTAATTTAATTTCATTAATGTAATATCTGATTAATAATTTAATTTCATTAATGTAATATCTGATTAATAATTTAATTTCATTAATGTAATATCTGATTAATAATTTAATTTTATTAATGTAATATCTGATTAATAATTTAATTTCATTAATGTAATATCTGATTAATAATTTAATTTCATTTAATCTTACATTTAAATATTCTATTTTGTCATATGAATTTAGTTTATGAATTTAGCTTATTTTGTCATAAGAATCTTCTTCCTTTTTTCTTTTCATTCTAATTAAAATTATTTTAGTCTGTTACTTCACTATGAATAATTTTTTTTTTGAACCGATTGTCTATTTAACTAACAAAGAATTTTGAATTTCGCACAAAAAATTGATTGGAACATTGTTCATAATGAAATATTAGATTCTTTCATTATTATTATAAATAAATATTAGATTCTTTCATTATTATTATAAATAAATATTAGATTCTTTCATTATTATTATAAATAAATATTAGATTCTTTCATTATTTTTATAAATAAATATTAGATTCTTTCATTATTTTTATAAATAAATATTAGATTCTTTCATTATTTTTATAAATAAATATTAGATTCTTTCATTATTTTTATAAATAAATATTAGATTCTTTCATTATTTTTATAAATAAATATTAGATTCTTTCATTATTTTTATAAATAAATATTAGATTCTTTCATTATTATTATAAATAAATATTAGATTCTTTCATTATTATTATAAATAAATATTAGATTCTTTCATTATTTTTATAAATAAATATTAGATTCTTTCATTATTATTATAAATAAATATTAGATTCTTTCATTATTATTATAAATAAAGTTATTTGAAAATTGTCGAAGTATTGATTAATAAACATTTCAATTTTTCAACATTTATCATTTTTAGTTATTCATTGGAAAGTAAAACATTGAAAAAATATGCAAATATGCTTTTTTGTAAAAATTTACGATTTCTTACAAAATTTTCTTAAAAAATATAAGTGTGCCCATATTAGCAAACCGATTTATTATCAAATTTGTTATCAGCAAAATACAATATAATTTAAATTAACTTAGGCAAATTAATAATACACTGATACTATCATTAAAATATGTTTTCAAGAAGACATAGAAGCGAAGCAAATTGGTATTAAATGTTTTTGTAGTTTGTTTGGAAAATATTTTTCAAACTTTTTGTGACATAAAAAAATGATAAAATAATAATAATAATAAAATAATAATAAATGAAAAAGAAATGATAGACAAGAAAACTAATAATTAATGATAATTGTTTAAAATTACTATTATATTTGAATTTTTATGGAAAAGGAAAAGAACAAACTAATATTGGGATGCAACTATTTTCATATCAAATATTGATGGAAGTTTTTGTTTTTAATTCGATGAAAAATTTACGTGGAATATAATTTTCAAAATTGTTTTTGATGTTAATTTTCTGATGGCGAAGAAAGCAGCAAATTGCTAAAAGGTTTTTTTTTTTGAAATTTAATTTATAAAACATTAATTTTTTTTCAGTTAGATGTTTTCTTTTTCTTTGTTTATCAAATTGATTCCTTTGTGTGAAATTTTGCTATGGATAAACAAATCCTTATCATTGGATTAACTTGTATTGATATCATCAATTATGCCGAAAGCTTTCCAATTGAGGACAGTGATTCTCGAGTATTAGAACAGGTAATTTAGAATGAAAAGGTATATACATTTTTTTTTTTTTTTGTCATCATAATTTGAGTTTGTTACGATGACAACATTTAGAGTATTGATTCATCTCGGCAAAAAAAAAAAAAAAAACCACTCATTTTAATGTTTTCTAAACATTGATAAACAATTTGATACAATCGTTTACTCTTCTTAATGAATTTAAGATTTTTTTCTTTTTATCATTATATAGTAAGCTATTAGAAAAAGAGAATTAATTCAATTCATCTAACAAATTTCTCATTTGCTAGCCTAGCTTTTTTTTTAAATATCATACAATATAAGTACTTCATGTTCTAAGCTATTCTTAAACTTTTATTTTTCTAATCCTAGAATAAAATTCATATAAATTATTTGCATAATTTAAATTACTTACTACAACTTATTTCTATTCTACTGAAATTAATTACACTAAAGAAAATGAGCAAATCTAATTTGTTGTAGATTTGGTCAGCTGGAGGCAATGCTACAAATAATGTCATCGTTTTAAATCAGCTCAATTCTCATTCGATACTATTTTCAGCAATTCCAATCAATTGCTCTATTATTACTTCGTAAGCATATTAGTTATTAAAGTGTTTTGTTAATTTGTCCAATTATTTGACTAAGTTTGGAAGATTTTAGATTATTAACCAAAGTTGGTATTTCATCGAAACATTGTGTCCATCGTTTGAATGCTGATTTGCCGACATCAACAGTTATTGTTAATGAAAGGACCGGCTCCAGAACAATTCTACATTACAGGTATTCTCATGGTATATATATATACCAATAAAAAAGGGAAGTAACAATTTTGAGATTGATCCATTTAAATTCATGTTTTTTTTTTTTTTTTTTTAAATTTAAAATATAGTTTTCATTTAAATACTACTTATTGATAGCTAAGGCTAGCATTTTTTGCTTTTCAGACATCTAAGGCATATATGTTTCTTAATATCACTGCAGGGGACAGTTGCAAGAACCGAATTGCGACGAATTTCAACTTGCTTTTCCAGATATTAGCATTTTTTCTTGGATACATTTTGAAGGTTCACAGTTTTTTTTTTTTTTTTTTAAACTATTATGCAAGTAT